ACCCGCGTAAACAAGCCTCAGATCCGATCTCACTTTCCACTTGCCACATCATATATTCTTATCGCGACCCGCGTAAACACGCCTCAGGCCCGATCACATTCTCACTTGCCGCATCGTACATCTCATTCTCATTCTCTTTCCACAGCCCGCGTAAACACGCCTCAGGCTTCACAGTCGTATCACGACCCGCGTAAACACACCTCAGGCCTGTTCAATTCCCCGCGTAAACACGCCTCAGGGATTTAGTGATCACGCGCACATGCCAACACACCGTATTTTATCTATACCCCACGTAAACACGCCTCAGGGCTTTTTAGTGATCACACGCACATCACACGCCTCAAATCTCATACGTTCACATACTCGGGCATTAAGTATATGCACTCAAACACATCAAATCCGACCGTCACAATTCAGCCCACATACATACATACAACCGTCATATAGCACGCCATTTTTCATCACAAAAACCATGGCACAACAATCACGGCGTTACACGGCAATTTCACGCAATTAATTGCCGAATCAAAACATCCAATCTACGCACCAAACAGAAAATCAGATCATCCAAACCAGCCAATCACAGCCCTTATTTGGCCTCTAATTTACCACCAAAATACCACAATTTCATCCTTAAGGCCCCTCATCCAATTCAGCCCCTAAAACCGAACTAAACCGCGTCTAAACTAGTCCGTTAATACCCGATATCCTAAATAGGGTTTAGATTGTAACTTACTTGAAATTTCCAAGCAAGCACAACCTATCCAAGGGCGACAGGGCAGCTGGAACACAGAGGTCCGGCCGAACGGCGGCGATCGGCGACGGCGGCGGTGGCTTGCTCGTCCGGCTAATCACGACCACGGGAGGGAGAGAGAGATCGGCCGAGAGGGAGAGAGGGACGACGGCGAAAGGGTGGCGAGGGCACGACCCGGCGACTGGACAGACGGCGATGGGCAGACGGTGGCCTGGGACGGCGGCGGTACGGCCAAGGGGAAAAGGGGGGCGATCGGCCGGTGGGGGAGGGGAGAGAGAGAGTGGGCCGAGAGAGGTGAGAGAGTGAGGAAAGAGAGAGGAAAATGGAGATTAAATATGAAGAACACCAATAATTGGTGTCTAGACCATGCCTAAATGACCATCATGCCCTTCTCTCACATTTCCAACCAACGGCCAAGATTCGTTCTTATCTTGAGATCAACGGCCGAGATCGAATCTTTTCCAAAATATCCAAGGGTAAAATAGGAATTTCACAAAAAGTCCAAGGGCAAAATTGTCTAAAAATTGTCATTTCTAAAGTGAGGGTGAAATGACCAAAATGCCCTTCCCCATTTACACTTGGCCTTAACAAAGTCTCAAGGGTAAAACGGTCATTTTCCATTTCTCGCCGAAATTCAATTTTTCTGAAGGATTCGAACAATTCTAAAGCTGATCATGCTAATAACAACGTCATCCAAATATTCTGTCGTGACTTTCTAAATTTTCAATACCCAACTTGGTCTCTAATTAATGACTAAATTTTAAATAATGTAACTTGAGCGTATCTCAGACTAACGGGTGGCTTTTGGGGAAATTCGCACTTTTGACCAGTGGCCGATACTGAATCAAGCCACGTTCAAGTTCGCTCGGGTCGTGACGACCTCGGTTGTCACTTAATCACAAGGATTGATTGCTAGTTCCGACGGGCGCGATCATTTGATATAGGTTTAGGGTCATTCATCAATTCATCTCGTGGTCAAGCGGAATCACCCGCGATCCACTAATATGACAGTGGCGAATTGATCCCTGACTATCCTTGGATCAGCCTACATTGACTCAAAATGTCACCTCGACAATTCTATGGTCAAAAATCAATTCACGATCGAGTTTCTTTGGTCTCGCGAATTTAAATCCTCAATTAGCCTTTCCCTAATGGTTAGTATCCCAGGAATGATCAGTTCCGGGCGAGATCTAACTACAAGTACGTTCATAAAATCATCCATTTCATAAATCCCAAATGGGTAAAATTTCAGAATGTCACAACTAGAGTATTGAACATGTGATATATATTTTATTTCCTCATCTATTTGTGAATATAAACTAGCTAACAATCTAAAATAAGCAGCAAGAGGAGTACTTACTGGTTTGGCATATTTCATGCTAAAATTATCTAACACCTTCTCAATGTAGCTTTTCTGAGAAAGATACAATTTTTCCCTTTTCTGATCTCGCCGAATTTCCATGCCTAGGATTTTCTTCGCTGCACTTAAATCCTTGATATCAAATTTAGCGATCAATTGTATCTTCAAATTTTGTATATCAGATTTATCTTTCACAGCAATCAACATGTCATCGACATATAATAACAAATAAATGAAAGAGCCACTTGGAAGTTTGCACATATATACACAACTATCAAATTTGCTCCTACAATAGCCAAGTTGCGCCATAAACGAATCAAACCTTTTATATCACTGTCTAGGTGATTGCTTCAGGCCATATATAGACTTTTTCAATAGAAAAACATGTTCTTCCTTACCTTCAAACTGAAAACCCTCTGGTTGACCCATATAGATTTTCTCTTCAAGTTCACCATACAAGAAAGTTGTTTTCACACCGAGTAGTTCTAAGGGTGCGTTTGGTTCAGCATTTTGAAAGCCCCTTGGACCTTGAAAGCCCATTAAGGAAAATTTAGGGTGTTTGGCAACCATTCTCCAAGGGATTTTGGGGTGAAAGCTGGCCTTAAGAAGGTTGAAAGCTTAATGCTGGTCCCTACCAGCATTGAGCTTTCAGCATTTTTGGAATACTGAAACTCTTTTCTAATGAAATTTTGTCAAATTCCTTTTTTTCCCTAAAAAACTCATTAGAAAACCAAGTTTACCCCTTTTAAAAAGTAAAACCCTACTTCCCATATCACACCTCCACTCCTGCTCTTCACTCTCTCCCTCGCAACGACTGCTCCTCGCTCTCTTCCTCGCTCAACTGCGCTCCTCACTCGACTGCTCCATTCCTTCGCTCACTCTGTTCCTTCCCTTGCTCGACTGCTTGTTCTCTGCAGATTCAATCTCTCCTCTCCCTCTCTCTCTAGTGGATCTTATTTCGATTGCTTAAATCTGTGCATTGTGATGTTTGAGCTGAGAAGTACCCAAGCCCTCACTCCTTTTTCGTCATGCTTGTCGTTTTTGTTGCAATGATTGAATTTTCAGTGATAAGCGATAGTGATTTGCATTGGCGGAATTGTTTTGAATTGTATTTTTCTTGGAGTTTTTCTCTGTTCATAATTTTTTACCCAAATTGTTTGGCTTCAAGTTTGCTTGTTTTGGACATATTTATTTGTGGTTCTGATATTAGACGGTGTGCGAAGATTGAGTGATAATGGATTGACATAGTTATGATGAGAAAATTGGGGGTTTATGGGGGTGTTATTAACTTATTGTTTCTCTGTATCTTGAATTGGGCTTTGTCAAATATGGTGATGCAAGGCATAATGGCCAAATCCTCCCGATATAGAGCTATCCAAATTTCTGGGCATGTGCCAGTTTTTGGCTTTTCAATGACGAGCGAATTGGGATTCTAAACAATTTAGAATTTTCATGCTGGGGAAAAATCTAATTGGGGAAATGAGAGGGTGTATAAATTTTCTGGCTTCACCGAGGCTGAAGGTTAGTGATGATGAGTCATGGATTATAGTTTGTGTTGGTGGTGGCAATGATAGAGCGATGAGTAGGTAGAGGAAATCATTTGTTATTTTTACACAGCAGAAATGGAAGGTTAGTGACGATGGCTTTTATGTTCTAACATTGAAACAACAGCTTCTTAAAGTGAATAATGAGAATGAGTCAGTTGTTTAAATGCTATGAATTGACTGTGATGAGTAATTGGATCTGCATTCCCTACCTGTAGCTTTGTACGGAGGCTCGTTGTACAATCTTCCTTTACCCATGATGTTTCGTCTGACCTTTAATTATGTATGTGTTCTGTAGCAATCGAAGATCAAGGAAGTAGTTGGTGTACTGAGGCCTCACTTGACTAGTTCGATTAGCACCGTTGATGGAATTCGAGAGTTGGAAGCCATGGCAACAATGGACTTCACCGCAGTGCCGTTCGCGGGCTCGAGTTCCATCACACCAAGCTAAGGGAGTAGTTGCCCTGACATAGATCTTGGACTCTTTGTGAGGTTCCATAATAAATGAGAGGATCATTTTAGCTGTACAAATTGTTTTAACATAGACCTTACCAGAGAAAAAGGGGTCCGTAAAGCTGAATGTATGGTGTGGCAAGTTCTAGTATTGGTTAGTGTTAACTTGGTAGGAAGGTTTTATCTGAACACTGAATTCTTTTTCCATAGTGCAGCAATCAACAGACGGATCAATATTCCTCATTCGAGTTAATCTGTATCGTGTTGTTGCAATTGAAAATTCAACAACATTTCGCCTCTTTCTTGAATAATTTTGAATGTTTATCGACACTTGCTTTGGTGCAGGAATGTTTATTGACACTTTTTCAAATGAGGAGGGTAGTGCTTCAAATAATGATGCAACTTCTGAATTTGCACATTTACGTGATCAAATAGCCATAAGTTTAGAAAATATTTAAGGATGTTTGTAATTTTTAAGGATAATGAATTTCTTTCCTTGGGGCGTATTTTTTCACGTTTGTTGTGATGAAAGCAATCTATTTTTTTATTAAGAAAGAGTTCTTTTTTTTTTTTTGAGACAGAAGAAAAGACTGTTCATTGATATCTAGAAAAGACAGAATCCACTTTCGGGGTCTCAAAACATAGCAGATCTCTAAGGGCCTGCGGAGGACGGGTCAACCAGTGTTCAGTGAGTGCTTTTTTTCTGTGTGTCGTAACTACCCAGTCTGCCACACTATTCCTGGACCTATTACAAAACTGCAGTTTTATGTTTGAAAACGAAGACAGCAGCTCACGTGCTTCACCGAGGAGAGCACGATGTTCCCACAAAGATACCTTCCGGAGACTTCAAGCCGTTGACCGTGATTTAGGCACCGACCTGCACTAGGTTTTCACCCGCACGAGGAGAGAGGAATTTGAGGGTTTCCACCATGGCTAGGCTGTCGGCTTGCTCGGCGGAGGAGGCGAAGACATCCTTGGCAAAGCCGTTGATCAAGATCCCAGCTGAGTTGCGGCATACACAAGCTATTGAACCTTCAAAGGAACCAGGTTGGTGAGCTACATCCATATTTACCTTTGTTTCGCCCCTCTCTAGGGGACTCCGGACATCCTCCTCTCGTGTGGTTTACTGCTTCAATTGGTCGTCAAAGTTGTTCCATCTCGTTGAAATTTTTGAGCAATTGTCGTCCTCTTTCAACCAAGCAATCGTGGGTCCGGAAGGAGCCTTCTAAAGACGAGGCTATTCCTTGCTTTCTAGATTTCCCAGAGGACAACAGAGACTAACTCAAATTCGGGGGAGTTGTTGCTGCTGGGTATGTATTTTATCATCCATTCATCAATGCGGGAAGTTTGGTATTTTGAGATCTCGGATGTTGAGTGCGGGAACATCCCTGATTTCCTCGTCCACTTGCATAGTAGGTATAGATGTCTCCGTGGTTTTCGCATGAACTCGGCAGAATGGGCAATTCGGATCGTACCAGTTTCCTTCTAAACAAATTTTCCTTTGTTGGTAGTGCGTTTTGGCATACGCTCCATACAAAGTTTCGATTTTGTGGGGGTTTTCATTCTCCATATCCTGTTCCGAGTTTAGTAGGAGTTTGATGAGAGGAGGAGGCAGGCGTGCTTCCGTGTTTACCTTTTTGCGAAGGGTGTTGTAGCCGCTCTTAACGTGTCGTCGCCTTCCTTCGTGCCACCCGATCGTTTGTCTTCATTCATTTGTGGTCCGATATGTACTCGTGAGGATCTCGCGTACTACTGTTCATCGAATAGTCGTCGCAAAAGCGGTTCCTTCCATGTGCTTTCCCCTTGATCTATCAATTCATCAACCTTTTTGGGTCCCCTCGCATTAGCCGGTCCCCCTATAATTCCCCTTTGAGCCACTTATCCTCCCCGATGTTAATATTGTGCCCATTCCCTACCGACCACATGATCGAGTCTTCAATTGATGTGCGCCCCATGAGTATGCTCTGCCATCCCTAAGATGGTCTGGATCCCTTCTCTGCCTTCCAGAAGCTCTTGGTTGGGTAGTAAATGCCCTTTAAAACTTGACTACACAGAGTTGTATGATTTTGTGCTAATTGCCAAGCTTGTTTGCCAAGCATGGCCTTGTTAAAAGATATTAAATCCCTAAACCCAAGGCCTCCCGTCTTTTCTCTGTTTGAGAACTTCGGCCTTCCTTCAGTGCACTCCTTTTGTTGCTGGTTGGTTCTTCCACCAGAAGGCTGTGATTTTTTTCTCAATAGCTCGACATACTGAAAGTGGAATCTTGAAAATTGACATGGCATATTGTGGTAATGCTTGGACAACAGTTTTGATCAAAATTTCTTTCCCCGCTTTAGACATTGTGTTCTCTTTCCACCCGTCAAGCTTCATATTTACCCTTGACAGGATCCAAGCAAACATTTGCTTTTTAGATACTCCCCAATCAGAAGGAATACCCAAGTACTTCCCTGTCTTTTCAATCTCTGGGACTCTTAGTTCTCTAGCCATATTCCTTCTTAATTCACTAGGGCAGTCCTTGCTGAAGTATATCCCTGACTTGTTCATGTTAACTGCTTGTCCTGAGGAAAAGCAATACTGGTGAATGATTGCAGCTAGGTTCTGACATTCTTGTAGCTTACCATCGAGGAAAAATATTGAATCATCTGCAAAGAGTAGGTGAGATAGTACAGGGCAATGTCTATTGAGTTGTATTCCTTTTATAGTGCCATCTTGCACAGCTCTTTTCATCAGCATTGACAGGAAATTTGCAACCAGTATAAATAGGTATGGGGATAAAGGGTCCCCTTGCCTTATCCCTCTTGTAGGTTGGAAGAAAGGCTGGGGTTCCCCATTCAACTTGACACTCAAAGAGGTTGTTGTAACACATTGCATTATCAAATTCACCCATCTTTCATTGAACCCCAATGTAATCATACAAGCCTTCAGAAAATCCCATTCTATCCGATCATACGCCTTTTGCATGTCTAACTTTAGGATAGCCTGAAATTTTTGTTTTCGCTTGCAAACCCTTAATTGATGCAGAACTTCCTGGACTACAAGAATGTTATCTTGGATTTGTCGTCCTCCTACAAAGGCACTTTGTTCAACTTCTATCAATTCCGGGAGCCATGGTTTCAGCCTATTTGCTAGCACTTTGGAAATGATCTTGTATGCGAAATTGCACAAACTTATAGGTCTAAACTCGTCCAGCTTCTCTGGGTTTTTAACTTTTGGCACCAAAGAGATAAGTGTTCGGTTCAGAAGGGGGTTTAGCACACCAGTTTGGAAGAAGTTTCTGACCTCTGAAAATACTTCCTTCTTTATGACTTCCCAATGATGCTGAAAGAACTGGCCATTGAAGCCGTCCGGACCCGGGGCCTTTGAGGTTCCCAGCTGGAACGTTGCTTGCTTGACCTCTTCTAGCGTTACGTCCTCAATCAACCTGAGATTAGTTTCCTCCTTCACACGGCAAGAGTAATATTGAAGCAGTGGAGTAAACTGTCGATGTCCAACTGAAGTGTACAGTTCCCTAAAGTGGTCATATGTCATCCTCTTCAGTTGTTCTTGGTCTCGGGTCCAGTTTCCTATCGAGTCCTTCAGCATAGAAATTATGTTTCGTTGTCTCCTCTGTACAGTACAGGCGTGAAAGAACTTAGTGTTTCGATCCCCCCCCCCCACTTGAGCCAATTAATCCTCGAACGCATTGCCCAATACATCTCCTCCTAACTCCATAGCCTTTGAATGTCATCCCTCAGCTTTTGTAGTTGTTCTTTTTCCTTCTCAGCAGCTGGACTGTTTATTATGCACTGTATTTGCCCCATTAAGAGCTTAATCCTGTCCTGCCCATTTGTGAATTTCTTCTTACTCCAGCTTTGTAAGGCAGCTGCAGCTTTTCCCATCCTGATCAAGAGGCCCTCATTTGCAAGCGTTGAAGAATTTCATGCTGTATGTATAACTCTTCTGCATTCTTCATCTTCTAGCCAAAAAGCTTCAAAACTGAAATTTTTCTTCTGCCTCTTACGGGCTTGATAGGTAGACAATAGGATCGGGCTATGGTCAGAATCAATAGCCGGTAATGCATATATTTCTACCTCAGGGAATTGTAGTCTCCAATCCAGATTACGAACTGCTCTATCCAATCTTTCTTTCACCAGCTCTTCTCCTTCACAATTGTTTGACCAGGTAAAGGCACAACCCTTACTTTCGAGGTCGATTAGTTCGCAGTTATAAAGAAACTCTCTAAAAGCATGGAGTCTATAGTGCTCAGCCATTCTTTTGCCTATATTTTCCCAATGATACATAATTTCATTAAAGTCCCCTAAGCACACCCAAGGCAGCTGGTTTACCTGACTGATTCTATATATTTCGTCCCACATCTTGTCTTTTTCCTGGTAGGTTGTTGGTGCATGGACAAATGTGACTCGTATTCTCATTTTATAGTTGTCCTCTTCACATTCGATGTCTATTAATCCCTCTGAAGCTGATAAGATTGATAAAGCAGCAGGGACATTCCACAAAATCGCTAAGCCGCCTCTTATTCCCGTTGGGTTAACAACAAAGCACTCATCATATTTCAACATCCTCCTTACCCAGTGTATCTTTTCTTCTCTATTTTTTGTTTCCATGAGAAATAGTACCTCGGGCCTTTCTTGAGCCACTAGGGCTCTCAAAGCTTGGACTGTCAGAGGTGTTCCCAACCCCTGACAGTTCCAACTCAAAATCTTCATATGGATCCCGGTGGCTTATTAGGGCTAGCCACCACAGCCCATTGTCCCGAGCCTTCCACCACCTGGATTGGCGTTTCAAGCAGTTGGTCTTCATCTATGAGTAACGGTTTGTCCCCTTGAGAGTTGTATGGGCTGAACCTTCTAATCCTCTTGCGTACGGGAGTTTTCTGCCCACTTTGTTTCTTTTTATTGGCACTAGCTGGTACCAGAATAAGATATGGTTTCTTGGGAGGTGCCTGATTTCAAGCCAATGTAACAGGGAATTTAACCAAATGTTCACTTTAACCTGCTGGAATACTCATTGCAGTAAGTTTAGTCTTTGTGCTGTCCTGCTTCATATGCTGAATTTTCTGGATATGGCTGGAGCTGCTCTCCTCGTAGATCACTATTTGTCCAGAGTAGGTAGGTGTCTCCGGGATACTTTCCTCTTCCATAGGTTCAACTAAATCTTTCCCATGAAATAACTTCCTGAAAGGGCTGTTGCTACTTACCTCGGCCTTCAACCAAGGGCCGAATAGTCTGTCCTCATCAGTGTTCACATCATCGACGCTAAAAGGCACCTCTTCACAATCAGAAGCATAGTGGCCTATTTCCCACAAGAGAAGCAAAAATATGGGAGCCTCTCATATTTAAAATACAGCCAAATTTTCTTTCCTTCATTGTCAGCAAGCATTCCTGACTGCAGGGGTATGTTAAGATCCAATGTCACTCACACCCTTCCATACGACACCATTCCTCTTATCTCAATTTTAACTTCTCGCACTTGTCCTATGTTACCAGCTACTTCTCGAACAACTTCCTCTGAAATCCACTCAAAAGGAAGCCCCAGAATATGTACCCAGAAGTCACACAAGTCAAAGTTGTAGCTTAAAGCTGTGGTATTTGATTCCCATTGTTTCAAGATCAAGAGATTGTTCATGAAAGACCATGGACCTTGGTCCATCACTTTTTACCTCATAGCTTGAGAGTCGAAGGTTATTGCAAAAATACCTTGTTCTAACGGAGTAAAGTCAGCATTTTCCACTCGCCATGCTCTCCGCATTGTGTTTTGGAAAGCTTGAAAGTTGATTTTTGGATTTTTGAGGAGTTGCCCTATCAGAGTTAAATTCCCATCCTTGCCTTTCGCTGATGCCAGAATCCCTTCGACATTCTTAGTGACTTTGTCTGACCATATTCTTCCTAATCTTTTGCAGAGCAGGGCCAACCTGTGGTTTGCATCTTCATCCGGCTCCATGGAGGTGGGACTTAATCGCAGCTACTATAGTTCCTCGAGCTTAAGGACACAAGATTTACTTGCCTTCACAGTTGAGTTCCGCTCCAGAGAGCGATTTTAGTGTAACGAGTTGAAGTGTTGTGGGTGGGTGTTGAGTTGACGAGGCATTAGGTTACTGAGGAGCTGTTAATGATTCATGGTAACTGAGCTAGATCGGGGAAGGAAGAAGAGGGACATTTTGGGTTTCTACCGGCTAGGCTACCCCAATGGGTGGAGGGAAGCTCTTTCGAGAGAGGAGAACACATCACCCCGCCTCCTCCTCAATCACCAACCACCGCCAAAGAAAACACCACACTCCTCTGACGATTTTCTCTCAGGCAATAAAGCAAACACTCGGTGTGCACTCACTGACACCTCAGTAATTTGAAGTAAACGGGGAGCCACTCGAGCACCGACATCACCGAGCACCACCAAATTGCTGCTGAACGGATCTACTTCTTCACTGGCACACAATCAGCAGAGGAAATTATAGCCCGGACGGGGCAAATCATCCTCCTCGGTCGGGGGGGAAGTCGGCGACCTGGGGTGAGAAGCGGATGAAGAAGGGAATAAGTGAAGATGATGCGATTAAGAAAGGGAAAACTCCGACCAAATGGAGAGGACGACTCCCATTGAGGGAGAGGACGACTCCCACGGAGGGAGAGGAAGACCCCCGAAGAGGAGAAGGAAGCTCTCAGGAGTTCACTTTGATGTGAAAGTTTTCCATTTGAATTTTTTTAGCAAAAAAAGAAATATTATTTTTTATTTATAATTTTTTAATACATATCTTTAACATTGTTGTCAACATTTAAATTATAAAAGTTGTAGACATTATTTTTTCCAATTTTACACAAATTAAAAAATAAAAAGCTTAAATTAATCATTCGTAGGGGCTTTTCAAATGTGTTTTCTACCAAACGGTATTTCTCTCAAAGTTGCTTTTCAAAGAAAAAATTACCAAACAGTCTTTACATTTCCCTAAAGCCCTTTAGGCTAAACTGCTTTGTATTTCCCCAAAACCCCTTGGAAAAGTTGAATTAAACGCAGCCTAACTCTAAATCATGCATAGCAACTAACGCAAGAAAAACCCAAATTGAGTTATGTTTAACGACAGGTGAAAACACATCATTAAAATCAACTCCCTCAATTTGACTATATCCTTTAGTAACTAGACGAGCTTTGAACATGACATCTTCAACTCCAATAATGCCTTCCTTTCTTTTGAAAATCCATTTGCAGCCCACAATTTTCTTTCCTTTTAGTGGCTTAACAAGCTCCCAAGTTTGATTCTTTTCAAGAGATTCCATCTCTTCATTCGTAGCAACTAACCACTTTGCTGAATCTTTTGAAGAGACAGCTTCCTTGTGACATCCTGAAAAAAATTAGTCCATTTGGGATTTATGAAATACTGGATTTTATAAATGTACTCGTAGTCAGTTCTCGCCCGGAACTGATCATTCCTGGGAATGCTAACCATTAGGGAAAGGCTAATAGGGGAAATTAAATTCACGCGACTAAAGGAAATTCGATCGTGAATGGATTTCGATCATTAAATCGCGGAAGTGATATTTTGAGCCATTGTTGGCCGATCCAAGGATAGTTAGGGGTCAGTTCGCCACTGTCCTAGTAGTGGATCGCGGGTGATTCCGTTGGACCACGAAACGACTTGACGAATGATTCTGAAATTATACCGAACGATCATACCCCTCGGATCAAGTTATTGATCTTCGCGATTTTAATGACACCGAGGTCGTCACGCACCGAACGGACTTGCACGTGACTCGATTCAGTATCAGTCATGAGTCGATTCTGCGAATTTCCCCAGCAAGCCGCCCGTTAGCTCGAGAAACGCTCGAGTTGCGTTTAATAGAATTTAATTATGGAATTTTGCCCAAATTGGACACCGGAAAATTAGGAAGTCGCGACGGAACGTTAGGATGACGTTGCACGTGACACGTGTCGATTTTTGGTGCGCTCAAATTCTTCGGAAAAATTCGATCTGGACGAGAAATGGAGAAAGTGACGATTTTGCCCTTAAGGATTTATAAAGGATTAGTTTTACGGGCAAGGGGCATTTTGGTCATTTGTGCCTTAGATATTTTGGGTCAAAGTTACTATTTAGTCTAGACCACTCTTCTCTCTCTCCTCTCTCTCTCATTTCCCATTCGGTTCTCTCTCTCCCCGTGAAAATTTCCCCCAAATTGCAGTGAGCTTCCCCCTCCTCCACCGTGGGCTTTCCTTGGCCGTTCTTCCTCTACCGCCGGCACCACCACTCGCCACCACCGTCTGGACTGCCCTCAAGCCGCCGTACAAGCTGCCATTTTCTCTCTCTCTTCCTCTCGGTTTCCCCCTTTGGCCGTGAGCCTTGCCGGCCACCGCCCAAGTAAGCCGCGCCGTCGCCACCCAAGCCGATCGCCGCCACCCGGGAGCCGTACGTCGTTGCCGCCGTTCCCGATTAAGGGCCGCCGCTTTCCGTTCTAGCCGCGATAGTCTAGAACGCGGGTAAGTCGCGCTCTAAACCCAATTTAGGACTTCGGGTATCGACGGGCGATTTTGGGCAAAATCTGTATAAAGTTAGGTGCGGAATTGTATGAATTGGTAGTGGAAATTTTATGGCGGGCCTTGGGATTTAGTTCGGGCATTAATTATTGGAAATTCAAAAAAATAGGGGCTGCGAATTACTGTTCACGAGCTGTGATTTACTGTTCACGGGGCTGTGATGGTCCGATCGGGACGCAAGTTGGATTTCTAGAACCGAGATTTAATGGTGAGAAAGTCCCGTGAAGGACCGGAATCAATTTGGCGTCGTTTGGCGGGAGAAAAATAGAAATTTATGTGTTTTACGTGTGTTTTAATTATAATTGAGTTGGGATGGTGAAATTTACAATATGCGGGTGCGAAAAATTGGGGTTTATGATTGGAATTGTTTGGCGGGCCTTGAGGATTATTTTTGGAATTTTTTGAGAACAATTTGAGGTGAATTATAAGTTGCGAGTTACTGTCACAAGCTGCGAATTACTGTTCACGGGGCTGTGATGTTTTGTTCGGGACGCAAGTTGGATTTTTAGAACCATTATTTAATGGCGAGAAAGTGTCGTGAAGGATCGGAATTAATCCGACGCCATTTGGTTGGAGAAAATTGGCAATTTACGTGTTTTGGGCATGTTTGAATTATTCTGGATGGGGTTGATTTAATTGAGTATTTGTTTGTGTGTTACATGAGGTAACTCGAGGATGAAATGAAGATGTTTCGAGGCTGGAGTGAGACTGAATAGAGTGTCGGATGTTGTGGGATGGAATTGGCAAACTTAGGGCTCGATTTAAGGCCAGGTAGTGTCGGTTTGGTGTGTGGTAGTATGGTTAGATTGTGATGTTTAATAGGCTTGGAAATGTCGAAATTATGCCTATGAACGTGGCTGTGATTGTGGGCCCATGAGCGGCCTTGTGTGTTTATTGAACCGTGATTTGATGGATTGAAATGTGCTTGATTATGTGCACGCGTGGGCCAGATTGAATTAATTGTTGAAATTGACCATGTCAAATGCTAAGTGAGCATGTTTTACGTGTTAATTGATGCGTGCACGGGCCACGTGTGATGGGCCAGTTGAGTGTGGTAAATGCTTGATGAGCATGTGCATGAGTAAGAAAGAAAAGTGGTGTGGCATGTGATAGTGGAAGTTATGTGAAGGTGTGTAAGTGCGAGAATGGGATCGGGCCGAGTATCATAAACTCGGGCCGCGATCATGTAGGTCTGTTGCATTTGGCACAGGCTGAGGCTTGAAAAAGCAAGAATGAGAATCGGTCCGAGGCACGATCAGCTCGGGTGAGACCGGTATTGGACCGAGGCATTATAAGCTCGGGTTTCGATCATGTAGGCCTGTCGCATTTGGCACGGGCTGAGGAAAGTGTGAATGTGGGATCGGACCGAGGCGTGTGATGCTCGGGGCGCGATCGAGTGTGAATGTGGGATCGGACCGAGGCGTATGATGCTCGGGGCGCGATCGAGTGTGAGTTGGGATCGGGCCTGGGGCGTGTGATTCTCAGGTCGCGATCGGGGCCTAAGGCGTGAACGAGTACGTAGGCCGGAAGTGTAGTGATGATTGGTCGCAGTATACCTGAGGCGTGTACTTCAACGCGGGTCACTGGCGAGGATTGTGAAAGTGGAAAATGAGAATGGAAGGAATAATGGGATGAGAACGGTACATGCGCGTGTTGCATACGACGTGATCGTGATTGAGTGCAAGTGTGTGCATTATTGAGCCTGACCGTCTTAATTGATGTGCCTGTGATGTGATTACTTGATGTTCGTGAATGTGTGTGATTGCGTAATTGTCTGGAGGTACGTGATAGCCTAGGTGGGGTTTAGGGGTGAACTTACTGAGAAGTGTTCTCACAGTTGTTTCAACCGACAATTTCAGAACCCCAACAGAAACCATGAATCCTCCACCGCAGCCACCAGAGCGTTTTGGGGTACCCGTGCACTCCGAGTTGGACGTTGCATAGTTTCCAATGGGAGATGGGATAACCTGGATTAGGCATACTACTACCGTTTTCGTAGAAATAGGCTTGCCCCTGTGGGAGGAACAGAAGTACACTGCCTGGTTCTTCCGGGATGCTGACGGGGATGAGTTCGGGCCCGTTAGGGGTTTCGATGTTCCCTTTGATTTAGTTGGAGATTGGGACCCGACGGCCGTACCCCCGATAGACGGAGAGTTGACTAGTGTGGATACTAGTTTAGCTCAGTCGGGTTTGCATTCAATGGCCGCAGCTCAGGGATCTTCAGAGGCTGAGCATGAACCCGAGCCCGAAGCGTCGCAAGCTGAAGACGATCCGATGGACATCGATTTGGAACCGATCCCCGAAGACGAACCAGGGGAAGCGGAGGCCGAGGTAGAACCTGAGGTGGAACCCGAAGTGGAACCCGAGGACGAACCTGGCGAGTATGAAGAGCCTGTAGGAGACCCGGAGTATATACTCCCTTTTGAGGAATACATGGATCCCAATTACGTGCCTGAGTATAATTTCTTCGATTTCTTGGCTGAGGAGTATCAGAACGCAGCTCCAGCTGAGTCGGGCGACATCAATCACCCGATTGTGATCGAAGCAGAGTCAGAGCCCTCAGAGGAGCAGTCTGCTCAGGAGAGTTCGGAGTCGGAAGATGAGGAGTCAGACTCGGAATGGACGCCTAGCAAGGGGCG